CTATGCCTAAAGATCTTCGGAGATCTTTGCTAAAAAATTTCCTGATGCAAGTCAAAGGACCAAATCCAGAAAAATCCTTACAAGTAGAAATAGACAACTGGCCATTAGTATTTCAGGCAGAACTTGTTACAATTATTCTAACATTTTTGGTTATATCTTAAAAAAGTCAAATAGAAATTTAAACAGATTGCACAATCTGTATAAACACTTTGCAAAAGCTTCTAAACCCCTATATCTTTGATATAGGAAAAAGAAAAAGAAAGCAGAAGAACTGACAATTATAAATGAGATGTATAGACCTAATACACAAGAAACAAATCATGATTCAAATGACTAAAGTAAAAGCCCATGATAAAAATAAGGCTAACAACAAGGTGAATTTTCTTACCAAAGTAGCAAAAAAAGAACCTGAAATTTGTTGAAACAATTGGTACTAGCAAAAAGCTCTAATAACACTATATTGAAATAAAATTCCTATCAACATAGAAATAAGAAAATTTGTTAAAAAAATATACAAGAGAAGCATTCTAAAAAAATAGGCAAATCAAAATCAAATATAAAAAAAAATAAGTCAAAGAAATAGACAATCAAGAAAACTTTAACTAGAAAAATCTTTGGAAAGCAACAAAGTAAGAAGATCTTTAACATTGTTTAAACAAGTTTGAGAAAAAGTTTTTTAAATAAAATTAATGCACAATGAATTACTAATTCTAAACAATATGACCAAAAGATTTTTTACAAAATATACAAACCTGACCAAGTGCCTATACTGTTAATAAGAAGATGAATCCCTGAAATATCTTTTCTCTTGTAACAATATCACAGAAATATACAAAGAAATATGAAACAAAATTCAGGATCAGTTACTTAATAAATGGCTAAAAAATGCTTAGGCCAAACTGTAATACAAGAGCTTTTACAAAGATGATATAGACATAAATTTTCCATAGGTATAAAGATCATAAACTTGTGTTTAGAATTTTTTTCAAAAGAAGATATCTCAGAATGGATATAAGCAATAGCCAAAACCAAAACCAGTAAAGCAAAGCAATTACTAAAGAAGTTTTCAAGAAATATCTGCATAATAGATAGACCAGATTATAAAATTCAGGAAGAAAATTCAAAATATACAAACACAGAGAAAAAGATATACATGAAACAAGAAAAAAGAAGAAAAAATCAAGAGGTCCCAAACAAGAGAAAACAAGCTCAAAAAAGTCACAAGAAGATTATATAGAGGATTTTTCCATGCAAATTCAAGACAAGACCTCAATTTGGGAATGAATTAAAGAAGGAAAAAAATAGTTAGTAATATAAAAAATAGTTTGGATTTTGAAAAGATGAACTGTAGTGATAAACTGCAGGTAATAATCTTTAGAATTGAACTCCATAAGCAAGTAAATGATAAAGAGTGCAATCTTCTTTATCTTTAAAGTCATGTTTAAAAACATTAGTCAAAGATAAATGTTCAAGACAATAGAATAGTTTATGCAATATGATGTACCATACATTATTTGTTTTCTGTAAAGATTTAATAAACAGTATGCACTTGTTTGACTATGGGAAAAAAAAATTAAAAATAAAATTCAATGACTTACCACAATATAAAAAATATAAAAAATAAGCCAATACAAATATTGGATGTTCAAATTCATTCCATTTTTTGTTGAATTGATCAATACAATAATTTTAAAAATTCTTTGAAATCAAAATAGATTAGAAATAATATAAGCCAGTTGATATAATTAAACAAAACAGTTTGTTAAAGTTGTTATTTTGGATTCTAAAATCAAAATTACACTTTTGATTGGTTTAAGAATTGTAATTATTTGACATATATTTTCAAAAATCCTTTTGTTGTAATAATTTCCATACAATTGTTATTTAATATCCTAGGTTTATTATCCAAGATCTAATAATTAAAATTCAAAATTAATAATTAAATTTAATATTAAATTAATAAAAATTCAAATACTTATATCTTCAAATATTAATTAAAATCTAATAATTAATTCACAACAATTGTATATTATTGACTATCTTGTTTTGGTTGATGTTTTGATACCTTTATTCTTGATTTTTAATTCATTAATAGATTCACAAAGTGCACTCATCTCTTGATATGATCTCAAAAAAAAAAGATATCAATGTTTGATATTTGTTAATTATATTAATGACAAATTAATGTTTACATATATTCTTGGAAATTAAATTGATATAATGTACAATACACTATATAGTAATAATTTGCAAATATTTTTTACCAATAATATTTCATACAACCTTACAATTAGCTGCTCCATTAACATTTACTAGGAAGTACAGACCAACATGAAGGCCCCTCTGTCATGGTAACTAAGTGTCAGAAAAGTGTGGTGCAATAAGTTACTTATAAGAATAACTAGCAGTACCCTATTGTTCTCGCAAAAATTGGACCAGTAGGTTAGGTGGTTTAAACTAGTGATAGGAATTTTTCCCCTAGATAGGTCCTTCCAAAGATGTGAAAAAATACTTCAAGAGTATCAGATTAGCATTAACAGGCAAAACCAGTTGATAGGCTAGTATTAAGCTATAGTGTAATCGTTATAGAAGATGTTTGATGTATTGTAACAGATATATAATATCAATAAAGACTTACATCTAATGCCGTTCAACTTAAAAAAAAAAAAAAAATTAACTGCTCCATCTATAACCAATCTTGCAATTTTATTTTGTCCAATAGTAATAATGATTTTTTTAACATAATTGATTAAAAACTTTCTAATAATACTTTCTAATAATACATCTTCAATAGCCTAAAAATATTTATATCTATTGAGTATCATTAAAATAAAATTATATAATTGGTAATTGCTGGGATCTGTCTATCTATTTAAAACAATTGTGATATTTTCTTCTATTTGTAATTTCCTTTGAATTTTGATTGTAATTGCTATAGTCTCTAAGTAAAGAATATTTGTAGAAATTGTTATACGACATGATGGATTATAAGCTGGATAAAGTTGTTTACAAAATTTAATAAAAAATGGATAGTCTACAATTGCAAAAGGAATTGCTCAAGTAACAAAAAATATTTCTAATGCTATATTGATTGCATCTCTTCTAGCATCAGTTAACTTGATACTTTTCATAAAATTACTTAATAGAAATTGTTTAGAATTTAATTTTGTTTTTTTGATTGGTTTTTTTTTGTTCTCAATAGTTCTATTAATAATTATTTCCAAAAATTTATTTCAGATTTCAATTGAACAAAATACATATTCACTTGCTAAATGGTTTTCAAGAATATTTGATTTATTCTACTGATATTTTTTGTTACAATAATGACATGTTATTGAAAAATGTTTATGACTTTTATCAATAATTATTTTATAAAAATATTATTAAGCAATTGATTCTAGTTGTTCAACTGTATTTTTGGATGATGAGAAAACTGTTTGATTATCATCACTTTGTATTTTTTAATGAATAGATAGATAGAAAAATAATAAATTTGTTATTTTCATTTTTTTTTTTTTTTTTAAATTTATTAGTTAATAATTGTAACACAATTGCAATAAATTTAATAATTGTAACAAATTATATAATTGCATTATATTAATTTAATTGTGACACAATTACAGCAAATTTAATAATTGCAACAAATCATGATTACATCATATTAATTTAATTGTAGCATAATTATAACAAATTTAATAATTGTAGCAGATCATATAATTGTATTATATTAATTTAATTGTAGCAAATTTATATAATTGTATCACAATTGCAACTTGTGGCACATTAATTGCAACATTATGAAAATTTTAAATAATTGAGTCAATTGTAAAATAATTTTAGTCACATGTATATTATTTACTCTCTAACAATATAAATCTATTATATAATATTAGGTATTAGTATCTTTAAGAAATTTCAATCCACTTTATATCCAATACTTTTCTTAACAAATACAACTTTATATCTAAACTCTTTTTTACAATATCTTTAGTTTTAACTTATCTAAAATCAAAACATACTCTTCAAAACCACTTTGATAACAAAATTAATTGCTATTTCTTAACTTATAGTTCTAGTAATAGATTTTAAAATAAAGAGTCTATACTAAGTATAAATGGTAAAAGATTAATATTGCTAAAGGATTGTTTTGATAATAAAGATGTTGTTACTCTTCAGTCTTCAATTCTAGTAATATGTTTAAATGAAGAATCAATAATAGATGCAAATAGTAAAAGACTGACTTTATTTTGATATAGTTTAACTTTAGTATAGTTTGAAATTAACTCTTGTTTTACTTGTTATATATTAAGCCACATTTGAAAAACAAGTATATCAATTCTAGTTATGACTTGAAGACAGATCTGTATATAGTGGCTGCAGTACCTTCATGTGATTAGGTAATTCAATTTTCTAGATAGCTAGATATCATTCAAAATATAATATAAATTTTGAAAATTTTTTTCTATATTCTTGAATAATGCTAAAAAACTTATTGAATGGATTGTAATTGTGAGCCTTGTATTAAATTCTTTCTAGCAAAGAAAGATGTATACTACATCATAGGTTGTAAATCTTGTAACTGCAAGTTTAAATTTTATAATAAAAATAGTACATGGAAACTGCTTGTTCCTTCAATAATAATAATAATAATAAAATAAAAAATAAATTTAAAGCTTTTCGTTAAGATAAAAATAATTTTACTGGTCAAAACCAATCTAAATTAGATTCATTTTTTAATAGTCAATTTTTTTATAAAAATTTATATATTAAATATTATTATATTATATTAAAAAAATTCTTTATTAAATACCTATATAAATTTTTGTTTTTATAATTATAATTTATTAAATCGTCGATCATAGTGACTTTTGCCGGAATTTCACATAAGATTTGACTTCTAAGGGGGGTAATGTTGCGGCGCATTATCATACGTACTTCCAGCGTTACGTATTCACTTTTGTTTCAAATATTTTGACTTTCAATAAAAAAAAAGTGCTTTAATGGACGATTTTGAGATCTTGCCAGAAAATGCGGCACCAGGTCCAGGAGACAAATCTCAAGCTTCAAACTCTTTACAAGATTCAAAGCTTTCGAGTTCTCCTTCAAAATCTCAAGATTTTGAAAATACATTTGAGCTTATTGATTCTCCAAACGAACCTAATGCTGCACCAACTGGGAACAAGATCAAAAAAGTTACTATTAAAGAAGACTTAGTTAACGATAATTTGCTCGGTAAACCATTAACTTTTAATTATTTTGCGTTTTGAGCCAAATTTTTCGCTGGACTTTTTTATCCCATCGACAAGTCTTTTTTATATTAATCCAGTTTTCCCTATTTTACCCTCAACTCAAAATGAAGGAGAATCTGATACATACCTGTCTTCAGATTCATCGGGCAACAGTGAGAACTCGCGAAGAGTAATCACCAAATCGAGAAATTTCAAACGTCATCAGTTTAATATTCCATTTGTCTTTCGTGTTATGTATGTTGGTGAAAATGTTCCTGATAAGTGCAAACGTGGTCTATTCAACAAGATAAGTGAAAGCTTATCGCAAATATTTTGGGAACTTGCTGAAGTCGCGATTCAACCAAATGAAATTAACTTAGAAAAAAGACACATTATCTGTCCTGTGGCTAGTATCCCAGAGGATGGGAAATTCAACTTTGATTGTTATGAAGATTCGGGTGTTACACTCTGTGAAGCTGATCTCACCAATGCACCATACAATAGAGTTTTTGATTATTTGCATAGTCAATTTAAGGAGATCAAGTCTGATGCTGATTTGATTGACTTATGTGTCGTCTTTATTCCCCCTGATGTGGATAATATCTCTACGGATTTTTTATCTATGATGCATAAGTTACAAGACAAAGTTACTCTGTTCCCAATAATTGCCTTGGATGGAAACGAAATATATTTTAAAGATGAACGTGAAGAAAAGCGTCGCGCAATTTCAAAGTATTTAAAAGAGAATGATATAGAGATTTTTATATGGAAAGCAGACCAAATGATTGAAGACGGAAAGAACGGTGAAACAGATCCTCGCTGGGTTGAGACCGTTTATACAAAAAAAGTATTGACAATTGATGACTTTATCTCATTTGACAACGAAGCTGTCTATGAAGATCTACAACTTCTGCGTTCGCGTGCTATCGAATTTAGAAAAGATCGTCAGCGTCGCGAACGAGAAAAAAGGAGATCACAAAGATTTGGAGTGCTTAGAGATATAACCATTATGTGTATAATTCTTTATGTCGTTTATTTATTCATGTCTCTTGTCTGGCATTATGCTGAGTGGTCAGTTATTCCATCCGATTTGGCCCAATCTCTTCATACTGTATCACGAGCTTCATTAAAAACTCAAAATCAGAATGGACCACAAACTATTCCTTTGGACAATGGCGAGATGGGACCTCTCATTGAAGTATTCCAAGAAACTTCTAGTAGATTTACTTTCGAAATATTGAATAAGAAACAAGTTGTTAATACCAGAAATGAAAATTTTGAAGTTGTCGTTACTCATTATCCCCGTCAAGTATTGGGACGTCATTCGGTAGTTGAATTAAGTAACGGAAAATATTCATTTGATATTGACACTACAGGGGCTCTAGGAGACGTGAAGGTCGAGATTAAAAAAAATGGGCAATTGGTCAAGGTAGTGCCTTGGTCTCCTAAGAAGAAAGACAACGAGAAACCCAAGGACACTTCAATAGCCGAAAAGACAGGTAGTATCTACACTACCATTAATGATGCCACGCTTGATATAAGCCAAAAAATCAATAATGTCTATGAGATTATAAAGGATGGATTGCACAAAACAGCTATATATGTTGGAAATGAATTACTTGCTGTATTTGTTTATTTAGGTAAACACGTGCCTCAAGTCTCGAAATATGTTTTGGATAAAGTGAATTTATGGGTTTATTATACATTGGAGATAGCAGAAAACCTTGCTAATTATACAAAAGACGCCTTTGATTATGGTGTAAGAAGAATGAAAAAAGGTGTTTTCCGAATGTATAGGATTGTAAAGCACAAATTTGATTCCTTCGGGGGGACGGTTTGAGAAAATGTTCATGTTCTGATATTGAAATTATTCTTCGATGTATGGAAAGTATTATTGCATTTGCTTATTTCATTAGGTCCTTCTTTTCTTCATATGTTTTATAGCACTATTTTACACCTGCGTATATATGCTTCTGTATTTTTTATTGTAAAATTTTTTTAAGTTTGACCGATGTGATAATTATTTTACATATAAATGCAAAAAGCATTTACATAAGATATGATATTAATAATTGAAAATGTTGCATTTGTTCAATTAGTGTAAGTGTTGAATTTGTTCAATTAGTGTAAATGTTGAATTTGTAAATTTAAATAAAAAAGTTGAATTTTTTTTATATTTATAAAAAAATAATTTTAAATTTTAAAAAAGATTGTTTTTAAATTTTTTTGATATTAAAAAATAACATATTTATAAATAATTTTAAATATACTATATTATAAGGTATATTTTATTATTAAAACCAGTGTTATTAATTTTTTTAAGGGGTTTTCCCAGTAGGTAAACATCATTTCTTTATTTGATATTGTATATAACAAGGTATACATCATGAAAGAAACAACATTTCTTTCATTATTTCAGAAAAGTTAAATGCTAACCTGCCTACTTATCAATATCTAACTAATATCATAAAAAAATTCAAAATCAATATTAATGTATTAGATAAGGCTGAGTAGTAACTATGCCTACTATCCCAAAAAATTTTGTAAATTCTTTTGATTTTTTAAATGCAAAAAATTAAAAGGAAAAATAAAAGTAACTATAACTAAGGATAGATCCCTAAATTATTTAGCATATAAAATTTTACAGATCAATTATCCTTTTTAAAGGGACATAATCATTTATTCATTATTTTAATAGGGACATAATTCAAAAAGCACTTGAATCAAGTAGCCTAAATTGCAAAAAATCTTTGTAGATAGTTTTTTTTTGATCTTATATTTAAAAAAAAACTTTTTTAATAATAAGGAACATTTGAATTATGTTCTTGTCTTTAATTTAGGGATCCATCTTTATTTTTATCATGATTTACAAATCAGGTTAAAACAAATAAATCTTTTATATTTTATAGTAACATAATGAAATCAAAGATTTTGTTTTCAATTTAAAATCTTCTATATTGATTAGCTTTATTTTGAACAATTATTGAATTATTATTAATATCTTTAACAAATGACCTTCGAAAGTTTATAGTTTTATAAGAAGCTTCATAATATTTGATTAATAAATTCAAGATTTTGGAAAATACAATTAAATTTAATTTTTCAGGACACAATAGTTTGCCAGAAAATTGTTGGATCCATTGATAACTGTTTCTTAAATATTATATATTATTTAAGAATTGGCATATTTTGTTTACTAAAAATTAATCCAATATTTAATCAATTATTTAAAATTTTAAATTCTATATTATTATAATAAGATGTGATTAGATTTATAATTCAGCAATTATTTATCAATCTTTATATTAGTTCAGCTTAATATTTTGATAGCTATTAGGTAATAATTTTAAATTTAAAATTTGTTAGAATATTATTTTATAAATATATTATAAAAAAATCTATCTAACAAACCATTTATTTATTTAAATAAAAAATATTAAAAAGCATATAATGATCCATAATTATATGCACATTTATACAGATATAAAGAAAGATAAAGGTTTAGTGTAATTTTTTTTTCATTATATTTTTGTTTAATTAATTTAATTATTGTTATTAGTCTTTTATAAGCTTTATTTAATAATTATCATCTTACAATTTGGCATACTAATATTTAACATATTTTAATAAAATTAATTAATATTTGGTAATCAATTTAAGAAAGATATTTTTATAAAACAATAGTCACATATATTATGAAAAAATTCCTTTATTGATTGGCAGTAAAGTTTGAAAACTCTTCTTTACAGTTTATTTTTCTTGGAATTTAGCCAATATCAGATGGTACTTGAAACTTTTCCATTATTGCTTATATTTCATTTAATATATTATTCATTAATATTCTTTTTTTAATTTATATTCATTTAACAAGTCATTTATCAATACCTAAAAAAAGACAGTGCATCAGATCAATAATCAAATATCGAATAGAATCAAAATAATATAAACAAAAAAGCTCAAACCATCTAGCTAGTTTCTTATTAACAAAATACTTTTGTGTCACATTTGTATTGCAATTCCTTCATTTGGTAACATTTTGTATATATGTTGCTAATAGGGTTCCTATCGGTATCAGTAAATATCATTACCAATTTATTGGTTTCGGTTTCGGTACTAATTTTAAAACTAAAATACCGAACTGAAATTTTCAGTAAAGTACCGATCGGTAATTAATAATTACAATAGAAGTTATATTAATATTAATAGAAGTTATATTTAGGGTTCCGATCAGTATCAATAAATATCATTACCGATTTATTGGTTTCGGTTTCAGTACTAATTTTAAAACTAAAATATCGAACTGAAAATTTTGGTAAAGTACTGATCAATTTTGGTATTTTTAAAAAAATACTGATTGGTAATTAATAATAACAATAGAAGTTATATTAATATTAATAGAAGTTACATCAAACTATAAATATAAATAGAATTTTTATTATATAATTTCAATAAATACTGTTATCAATTTATTATTTTAGGTTCAATACTTTTTAAAAATATCAATTTATATTAGGTAAAAATTGGCAATAGAAATTATACTG